TTTTTTCCTCTTTTGAGCTGTGCATTACAATGTACCTTGGAAAGTTTACTCTCCCCAGGATCCTGTCCCATGATGACATGACTCTTTTTCTTGCTCACTGATTGGGTAACTTTTCCACCATATCTTTGAATCAAATCTGCTGCCTCCTCTCTCTCAATACTTTCCAAGATTCCCATAATAACAAATGTCAGTCCATCCAAACAGTTTACTGCTTCCTAAAAATTAAATTATCAAGTGCATGCATAATTCAAGATGAGCAGACAAATAATTAATTCTTCCCTTGAAGGCCTCTTAATACTGTCCAAACTGAAAAGTTATAAATGGCAAAAAAGTAAAAAACTCTGTAGATACACCATAAACATTTCAGATCAATGTCAGCATCTGCACACCCACCCCTCCCCTAACCCAACAACCATCAACTGCTTACAAGTAAGGGTTAATGTTGGATTAGGGGAGGGGTAGGTAGGCAGTTTCTCAGATACTGACATTGAACCAACATTTGAACAACAACTGAGAGTAAAAGGATAAAATACATTTTTTTGTTTAACCCTTTAACTCCCATGAGTGACCAAGACAGAACTTCTCCTTACAATATCAATACAATATCATGCAGACAAGTGATGAGAATAAATAATCAAGCAGGGGATTATTAGTTGATCCAAGACCAAATTCTCCAAACTAACATTACAAGAATTGTATGACAGACAGTAAGGAGAATTACTATTGACATCTCAGAAGTAAAAGGGTTAATCAAAGCATGCATTTTACAATTTTTTCGTGTAAACTGTATCTGCAGATTTTCCAAATAAGCCTTAATTCTAATAATCTTCATTTTCCTTTGTCTTGCATCTCTCATTAAAATTTGAAAGGATGGAAAACAAACCATAAAGAGCTTGAGAGATAATAATAATTTAACTACCGTAAGAAATTAACATGTAACTTCTCCCAAGAATATCCATAAATTATCCAGCAAACAGGTAATGAGGATACTAAAACTTATCAAGTACATGTAGTTGTTATAATGATCTAACAACAAACTCTCATTATTAATTTACAGAAAAATGTGTAGCAGCTAGAGGGGAGAATTAACAATCAGATCTTGGTCTTTGAAACCTACCTGAGGGATTTCCTTTGAACCAAGTGCCCTAGGACCATCTCTCGCCATAAAACCATGGTAGCCAGATTTTTTCTTTTCCAATGAGGGTGGAACTTCAATCACTTCCTCTGATTTTGACACCTTGGTGTTCCTTGGGTTGGAGTTTCCTTACTAACATCTTTTTTTCCTTTTTCAGAGTAACAGTTTTCTTTGGACTTGGTTTTGAGTCTCTAACTGGAGTTTCTGGAACTGTGGCAGCTTTGGCAGCCAGTTTGCTAGCAGGAGTTGTCTTTGGTACTTACTGAAAAGTCCATGGATAAAATTTGAAGTGAATAAAAGTTACATGTATATCAAACATTCTAACAGCAAAGAGTTGTCCTCACAAGGCAAGAGTTGTCCCAATTAGGAATGTTGATAGTGAAAGACACTGCTGCTTTGAAAAATGGAGACAAAGTGGTAACATCTTCCTGGATTGTCAAAGTTAAAATCACCAAAAATGTACCTAAAAGTTTTGTCACTATTGTTACTGTTTTTGTATAAATTCTAGGTACAGTAATGGTAGTATTTTGAGTAGTGTTAGTATTGTAAGTAATGTTTTGTTGCAAGTATTGTTAGTAATGTGTCATAGTAGGACAGGTTTACATATACAAAATGTAACACCAGTTAACAAATTTGAGTAAGCTTTTGGATCTTAAACAAAGCCAAATTTAGTCATAAAATGTTACTGTTTCATCTAAAAGTAACTTATTTAAGTGCTTAATGACACATACCTTACACATGCAATCATATCAGATCCAATCCATTCTAGTATCAGGGTAGCTGGTTCAATTAAGTATTAATAGTAATGATTAATTTTGCAACAATAAAGTATGGTAATCAAAAGGCTTACAAACCTTTTTCTTCTCAGGGGAAGGCTTTGTAACCTCATACTTTGATTCTGAGAAGTTTTCCTTTCTTTTCTTTGATGGCTACTCTGTTGTGTGATGGTTGACATTCCCATTTTCTCTTCCTTCTTTTTCTCTCCCATTTTTATACTCTTCTTTTCTATTCACTTTGGGTCAGATCTCTGTGGGAAATGAAAACAAAAAAAATGATTGATGGTTCAACAGGGAATTAAGGGATGATCATTTAGTAGGCTTAAAGCTCTGGATCAAGCTTAAAATTTGCACTCTTAAGAGTGATCAATTTTCTAATTTCTCGCAATAATACCAATTCACAGTCAACTGAGCAGCAATGTGATGAGAAGAAAGAAAATCATCAGACAACAGGATATCACTTGATTGAACACCATAATAAAACCAAAGAAAAAAATTAAACTAAATTCATCATTTCACTCTTTTTAACCTAAAACTGTAAATCTTATAAAAATTAAAAATATACTTGTAAAAAAAGATGAATCACAATTCCCATAAAAATAAAGTCTCCACATCACCTTTCATGTAAAAAGTATGGCGTAGCCTCAATAAGTCAACATCATTTCCTTACCTGAGTCCAAACTGATTGGTCTCCTATTTTTCTTAGCTTTTGAACTCTCCTCCTTCTTTACTGATGTGGCTTTTCTGAAAGTGCATGAAAGAGAACCAGGTTCTGAATACAACCTGACATCAGTATGCATATTCTCCATACTGTTCTCTATGCATTTTCTAAGGTGCTGACAAGGAGAATTTGTTTAATAATCAAGAGCTTCTACAGTTGGTGACCATTTCCCTGATTCTTGATTCAGGGGTGATATTAGGGTCCAAAAGTTTAATCCTCCCAAGATCTGATTGCTATTTCTCCCCTCTAGCTGCTACACATTTCCTTCTAAATTAGTTATGAGAGCTTGGTGCTAGATCAAGACAGTGGCTTCTACCTGATAAGTTTAAATATTTTCATTACCTGTTTGCTGAATAATGTGTAGATATTATAGGGAGAGGTTTCATGTTAATCACTTCTGAGAGTTAAAGGATTAACTACAACTGTATGGAAGGGAACAAAATTCAAGAAACAAATCACATACCTGATTTTTGGAGGAAGAGGATCTTCATCAGAATCTAACAGAGATGTAAGATTAATTTAGAAATAGGGTCAGGACATCATTGTGATGTTGTACATATAATTATGTGAATCTTTTTACACCCTGTTTCCGTAATAATGCAAATTGCAGTGGGAAGTGACAAGAAAACTGTATAGCACAACTACCTAGCTTACATGTACATTGAAACCATTAAATTAAAACTAATACAGAGGTATAAGAGTTTGTGTAGAATCTCAATATCTGTTCCTTTTGAAACTGTTGGTGTTCACCCTAAAACATTACCTGAGTCAATAATGTTTTTTTCCTTTCTTCTTCTTTTTCTGATTTAATTTTGGTTTCTGTTTTCAGGCAATGTCATCATCTTCACTGCTTGATAAACTCTGCCCAGCAAATTAACAATTACATATTTTTATTCACACAAATGTGAGATAAATTCACTTCTTTGGACCTAACAATAACAACTGGATAAGATCAAGGGGGGGGGGGGGTTGTTCCTTGGAGCACAACTTTCTTACAAGACATTTTCTTCCAGCTCAGAAAATCAAGAGAAGACACCAGGTGTAGAAACCAATCCCCCTCCTTAAGCCCCAGTCCACGCAACTCTCCATATAAGTTTGACTTTTACGTGGATCATGCAAATAAAAAAGGTGTGAGCTTGAGTTAAAAGGTAATTGCAAGTACACTGTTATGCCAGCCATATTCCAAAATCATCAGATAAATTGCTCTTTCGTCTAGTGACCCATGTTTCATATATTATTAGTGTTGTCTATGTTATACATATTTCATGTTACTTGTATTTCCTGTGTTATTTCCAATCTTGTAATTAGTCATTCTGTTCTTGATGTATTATGTTTGTAATACTTTACTTAGAAACCACTAGCAATGGCATGTAAATAGAAGAGTTCAGTCCAGTCATCAGGAAATTAAACTTATCTAAAATTTATTGCTGGCACATTGGTTACACCAGGCTTGTGGAAAAAAAAGTTTGAGTAAGGTGAAGTTTCAATGTTTCTTTATCAATCACCTTTCAAGTTAATCAAAAATTTCATTTTCCCTTCAGTCTGATTAAATTAAAGATTAACTAGTACTTGTCAAAATTTGCAGAAGTGAAAGCTGCAGTTTGAACAAATTTGTAGGGAATGCTTAAGTCCTGGATATTTCGAACTTAAGGGAAATTTAGGTAGCAGTGTATCACATCACGCTGTTTAACCCTTAAACTCCCAGATGTAATTAACATGATGTAACTTCTTCCTAAAATATCTAAACAATATTCAACAAAAGGGTAATGAAAAAAGTTATCTTGACCTAACAAAAAATTCCTATAACAAATGCACAAGGAAACGTCTAGAAACAAGTGGGGAGAATTAGCAAACAGATCTTGGGTCAGTTAAGAAATGAGACAAAATTGCTTCATTTAATGACCTTGTTTAAGATAAAAGAGGCAAAACACTGTAACTTATCAGCCTCACTCAGCTACCCTGACATACTCAGACAAACTATTGAAAATTACACCTACAAAGTTAGTTAACACACAGTACCATACCAAAGAAAGATACCTTGGATTAGATAATTATATGTAGTGGAATGAAACTCTTGGTTAAAACTTGTTGTAAAATTACCTACCATGTGCTAAATAAAAGATTCATGACAGATGAAATTTTACCATGTATGGCAATACATACCAATTTTGGCGAAATTCTGCCGCTGAGAACCAAAACGACTAACAAACTATTAGTAAAGTGATGTGTTCACCTCACTCTCCTACATTGCGGGCCATCTTTGAAAATCTCTTGTACTTCAGTCAGCGGTCACCAACCTAGCTAGCTTCCAGACTCCTACTATTTCTCTTCCGCTAATTTTCTGAGAAAGATAAGGGGTCACAAGATAACCATAATCTAATTCAAATTCGCGGAACCACACGAAAGGAGCCGTCAGACGATGGAGGTTGAACCACGTGCAGTTGCCCCAATAGATTGCTTTGGAAAATGGCAAATAGATCCGCGGAGAACACTTCTCAGGGGTACGTACTCTGTTGTAGATGTCGATATTTCCATGAATGAATGCGCCCTAGATTCGCGCCCGCTCGTTCTGCGATTTGGGTTCTTTCGTTGCGCTGTCGTCTCCTCGAGGTATATCGTTTGTTTATTGAAAAATATTCAAATTCGCAGCATGAAATTTGCAAAACGTTATTTGAAGTTTTATACGCTGTTATTCAAAAACAATTTCATGTAATATAAAATGACTCTATAGAATAAAAAAAAACTACGTATAAAAGTTCTAGCGATTGGACTTGAATGGAATGAATGTGGTCGTGCACATTTTCCCAAACTTAAAATTACACTGGTTTCTAAATTGTGTTTGCTTGAGTGGTAGCAGATGATAGTGTTTATGCGCAGAGTTGGATACAACTGAGTCTAAGAGTTAACGTTTGTAACACTGTTCTTTGCGTCTGTCTTTCAAAGATCTGATGTCATACAATGCATTTAGTCTCTATTGTAAAACTAGACTCGACCATATCTCCGGAATTTTATAGGGCTTACTGCGATTTGATAAACGAGACGAAACGAACTGAAAATATGAACATCTCCGTGGTGTTCTTTGCTGAATCTTCACTATGTTCGCGCAGAGATCAAATCCTCTTCTGTATTTGTGAGCTCGTAGTCGATGAATAATTCGATTGCGTGACATGACACCTTCCTTAAAAAATATCGCGTGACTAAAGTTGTTTTGCAGCATGTTTCTGATTATAATGATAAAAAAGTTTTCGTTGAGGTTTCAATAATAATAATGGTTGTTGTGTTATCATTTGTGTGATTTATGGACTGAACTGACCGATTCATCCGTAAGGGGGGCATTGGGATTTTTCGATATTTTTTTAAGATCGGTTTTTGTGCCAAAGAATTTTGGTTTTTCGGATTGGGTATTCATTATGGATTTTCCGTCCTTTAGCATATGGTTTTCGGTTTTCGTCATAAATACTTGTCTTATGGGCTTCGGATTTGGTTTCCAATGTGGTTTTCGGATTTTCCTATCTGGATTCCGGTTTCTCTTCGATTTAATCGGCCATTATGCGCCTCCACTGATCTCGAGTTGCCGCGAAACCTCTGTATGCTCCACTTGTCAACACTGTATCGGATCGATCAGGGTTTTGAAAACTGAGATGTGAACACTTAAAGATTTTGACGGTTTTGCATGAGGTTTTCGGTTTTGATCGAATCTTTTTGCGGTTTTGCGGTTGTGGATAATTTTTTTGACGGCTTAGAGGTTTCTAATAGACCCTCTCATTCTTCCGTACAGTGGAGTTCCACACGGGTTCTTGTTTTGCAAATTGAAAATCTCTCTTTCTAAAATTACAGATCATCATTTTCGTTCTGTTCTGTGTCTTAAATTACAGTAGGCCTCGTTCAGTTATTTCCTTTGAAATTGTATGTGGATTTTTTTTTTATAATTTTTAATTTGTTATTATTATTTTTATTTTTCTGGAAATGAAGAGCAGTTGTCTTTCTCACTTCACACTTGAATTTGGTGTCTGTGCTAGGAAGCTTGTTCCTGCATTTGCCTGCACTGTCATCTATTAGCTTTGTAATTTTCCATTCCAGCGTGAATTTTCAATGTTCTGTAACACCTGTCTTTTGTTATTGTTATTATTTTGTTACAGCTTCTTCCAGCTGTAAGTGAAATACTGAAGTAACTTTCATCAGACAATGATGACAAAATCGTTTACATGTAGTAATAATTTGATTTAGCACCCTTCTTCTAAATTAAGCACCCCTCTGGAATAAGTGCCCCCCTCCCCCCTGTTTCATGTCAGAAACTTAGACAGGTGATGATGTTTTGCTAAAACTTCACTTGTAATTTCATGCTTGCACAACTGATAATTATTATTACATGTATTGTTATTATTTTTAAGCTTGTCATTATTTTTATACTGGCCTTTGTCAAGCAAAGGGTCAAATCTGGACTTCAAAACTGCAATGGATATCCTGGTTTGCTGATGTGAGTACAGAATTGATTAATAGAGCAAAAAGGTCAAGGCTTATATTGAAGGTCAACACCAAATAGTCTGATCATTGTGTACTTTTAAGTAGTTGTACCTAGGTCTAAGTGACACCTAGTTACTTGTAATACTAGGCAAGGGGATGTGCTGCTGGTTTGGGTGGCATTTTCATGATTTACTTAGCTATAATGGGGTTACATTTTCAATAGAGTTACTAGAGTGGGGACTAACACATATTCATTATTTGGAAAATTTTCGTACATCAAAATAAGGATTTACAAACAGGAAGATTCAAACTAGATTGATATGTACCAGAATATTAATGCACTGAAGATGAAAAGTAAAGTGTTCTAAATTCACATAAACAAATGTGTCGCTTCATTTTAGGATCATGACCTACTTAAAAGACTTTGTAGTATAGCTAGATAGATGCATCTATAAACAGAAATTGACTAAGTTGGGATCACAAGTATTACATTTCTGGTAAAGTGACTCACTTAGCAGATGGGGTGTACAGTTGGCCACAGAATAGACTATAATAGGGCAGGTATTCCGAGAGGCCAGCAGCACATGGGTAGATGGGATCACAAAAGTAACACTTTCCACTTCATTGACCAAAAAACTCCCCTACCCCTAATCTACCAGGAAATTGTGCCATTTCAGTCAGAATATAAACACAGTGCAATAATATGAGGCATTCCCTTATTGAATGGGTCTAATGGGAGTGTATTTTTAAGTGAGCTTAATTTGGGTGCCCATGTTTTACTAATGTTTGTGTGGTTTCCTTTCAGACCATTTGATTTTTTTAAGTGGTTTTGGCAACAGATTCACCATGGCTGTTATGTTTGGAGCCACTTCCAGCACATGCCTGAATATGTTTTTACAACTAAAAAATGGAATTTCTCAGATGCCTGACCCAGCTGGATGGGTGCAGGGTAAGTGGTCATACCATAGCAGCCTAATTTTGAATAAATTGAGTGTTTGTTTGTTTTGTTTTGTTTTTTCTCTCACTGTTAAAATCATTTTAAAGAGTATAGTAGCTATAGGTTAACTCAGTTTCCATGGGTCAGTATTATTTTATGAACAAATTTTAATATAGTTATTAAATGGAATTTAACATACAGTTTAAATGACTAAGAGCAAATACATGCATGGTCAGTAGCGTTTTCAGACATTTGGTTTATGTCTTAGCCAGCTGTTAGCATCCGTGCAGTATTTGTTGCATTCTGCATAGTTTGCATCAGCACTGCTGTGTATGTTAGGGCCCTGGGGCTGTCCTCATCCAGCAGTATACCTTATCAGTGTATGTGTTGGTTTACCGTGTGCCCGTGTTGTGTTTGCCGTTCTGTAGTGTGGGATTCTTGTCCTTGAGGATAGCAGTTCTCGGTGTTTCCTCCCCTCAACCCCAACTGCAGGGTTTGTTTTGCAGGGTCTATTTCAGCAAGCTGTCACTTTAGCATTGGGTAGGCCAGTTGTGTGTTCTAGCATCCTGGGGTGTGACTGTAGTTGCAGCTCCTGGGCCCCTTGGGCACCTAGCCTCCATTTGTGATGTGGGTGTGAACTTGATATTAAGTTATTTACTTGGAATATTTAGACAGGCTGGCTCAGTTTGGCTTTTAAAAGCAGGTGTAAACGTGGGCCCTATAAATGATAACAAGGCCACACTGGGGGCCACATTTGTTACTCTTTGTTGAAGTCTGTGAGTTGTTTTACTCTTTAACTCTCAAGATCTGATTATTAATTAATTCTCCCCTCTAGCTGCTGCACAATTGCATATTCATCAGTTATGAGAACTTTTCTGTTAGATCAAGAAAACATCTTCTACCTGAGAAGTCTGGGTATTCTCATCACCTGTTTGCAGGATAATGTAAGGATATTATAGGGAGAAGTTACCTGTTAATCATTTCTGGGAGTTAGGGGGTTAATTTCCCCTGCTTATAACCAGTACAGAGAAGATGTAGGAGAGTATGGGGCCTATGGTTTATCATCCTTAGCTGAGAAGACTAGAACATCTAACCATTTGCAGATGTTGTATCAAAGGCAGCATGTTCTTGTCAGTTATTTTAAGACCTGAGTGTTGCTGTGGTCAGGGGCTTGAACCCTCAGCTACCAACATAGCCATAACACCTTCGCAATGTAAAAAGAAATCACAAGGACTCATCCAAAGCAGTCGCTAGATACTTTAATCTGCACAATCATTCTTGGCAGCATATGGAACTTTGTGGCCTTTCCCTACATCTAGGCAGTTTGGGCTGCATAACTCCAGAACAAAAATTATCTTTCAAATAGGCACTCTTAAGCCACATGGTATCAACGAATGCTTTTCATTCAGCTAATATATTCTTGTTTTCCTGTCACCATATTCCCACCAATAACATAGCTCCATTTTCTGCATATAAATACACACACAACCCACAATTCCTCCAATTGCTTCGATGAAGGGCTTTTTGCGCTCAAAACGTCAGCTTTTAAACCCTTTACTCTGGCCAATTTACATTATCAACTCAGTCAAAAATACTAAATTACCCTGTTATACTCTCCCACTGATGCAGCACCACAGTTTCTTTAGAAATTTACCCCCTTTACCTGCACAGCAGTCCAGCACTCAACACGAGCAAGCAGAAAAAAATTCCTCTGTTTTAATTAGTTTTTCAGATTATTGTCACTGTTCTTGTATACGGGATCCTGTTCTACCCATTTTTTGCTGTCTTACAACTGACAACAGACTGGCTGGGTCCTTGCTGGGTTTTCTTTATGTTACAATCAGGTGAGCTAGCTATTACTTTGTTTATGAATACCAATTTGATCAGACTGTGAGTTTGTTTTTGAACTAGCAAATACAGTACCAATGGAAATTTATAGTTAAGAGTCTAGAGAATATGGATATTGATGTTAACCCTTTAATTCCCATGAGTGACTAAGAGAGAATTCCTCGTAATAGTGTAGTCTGATCGTCCGGGTGAGTGTAGTCCTGAGGAGGACTGATGTCGGTAACTGACGTTTCGACAACCTGAGCAGAAGTCATCTTTAGAGCCAAGGAATAGTTGTTGTCAGTCGAATATTCCTAGTCCGGTTTGTGTAAACTGATCGGTCGGTTTTGCCGCGATGTTATTAACTGTAAGACTCAAGTGGCGTAGGTCGGTCGTGATTGGTCAGTCTCGACCGTTAGTAAAGTTCGGTTCGTTTGTAATGTTAATGTCGTGGATGAGTCGTTTAAATGGTGCTGGTAGTGGTTGACGCCTGTTGAGGGGAGTCTGTTCCAAGTTAGTAAACCAGATTTCCAGAGTCAGGCGTTGATAGTAGTTGATGCTGTAGGTTAGGCATTGCGCAGAGTCCCAGTCAATAGTGTGGTTCGGAAGTCGGTGATGTTCAGCAACGTGAAATTTCCATTCTTACAAAAAATCTTGAAAGTTTTTCACATATTTTAGCCTTCTTGATCAATCATCTTGTATCAAGAGCTGAAAAATGTAGGTTTATTTGGTCAAGTGACCGCCTAGAACAAGAATTGCGTGACAGGTGTAGTTGAGAGAAACTTGTCACAGTCGCAGATTTTAAAAGGCATCCAAGACAAAAATACGGTAGTGCCCAAAGTTTTTTGATGATTTTCAGAGATAAAATTATGGATTATGAAGGGGTATCAAGATTAGTGTTGTAGCTTTCTGGCAAGGGGAGATATTTGACCTCAAAGTTGTCAAATATTTGGATGAATCGAAAAGTCTAAAACCACAGTCGTTTATTTGCCTCTGTTGATTGACAAGCCGTCTATCAAATTGACTGATACTTGCGGCGGAAATTAACTAAGGATGTAAAAGTATGTGTGCAAACTCTCAGAGTAATTGGTTGAATACCATCGCAGTGAGGGCTTCATGCATTTTACCTATTTTGAAGCGATTTCCTCGATGAAAACTAAGAAAAACCGTGGGGGTGGTCTATCTCCCTCAGGAAAAATCCAAAACAGAAACCAGTTCGTCTTTTTGAGTTTTGGGGTAGACCCTTTAAACTGGCAAAGTTTCATTGAAATCGGTGAGATGGCATGTAGCACGACTGCCTGGTGCTCTCGTGGACAGGCTCTTAAAGGGATTGAACAAAACGGATCCAAATGTGATTATTTATCTAACTGTTCCCTCAGGCTTTAGGCGGGCGCTTGACTGTTTGTTTTTCCCTCGGTGTTTTTATAATCCCCTAATTCTTAAACGACTGTGAATTTATGAAAGTCATATACACCCCTTAACTCTTCTTCTCTTTTTGGAAAACAAGGAAGACTAACTTCTATGTAGTTATTAAGTCATCAAAAAAAACAAAAAAAAAAAACAAAAATCAGCGGAGTACACCAATGCATGTGTGAAGTAAAACGAGTGTCTCAGGCATCGCACCGCTCGGAATGATCCGGAGTTTGTGAGTCTGTTGTAAACCGAGTTAGGCACATCTACATAATCGACTCCTTATTTCACTTGTTGAAATTCCTCTTCAATGCTTGACTCTCCGTTGTAGTGATACTTGAAAACAAGGCCCATGGAAATATTCCGCATTTCTATCGCTAAGCTTTTTTCCTATAAATTGTCTACTCTGAGTAATTGTTCCTTAATCGCTATTGAATGAAGTTTGCGCAAGAGGTTATAATCTGACATAGTTTGAAGCTACACTGGTTTGCAGATTTAATGAATGTAACCGAAGAAGTTACAATTCATAGACCCAACGTTTCGACACTCCTGTCTAGTGCCTTCATCAGGGGTGATCTAAACGCTGCAACAAGAGGTCCACGTTTTTATGGCTTACCTAAAATTCATAAACCGGGAATTCATTTGAGACCCATTGTCTCTTTTGTTAATTCTCCGACTTATGCAATTTCTGGTTATCTTGCGAGAATTTTGTCGCCTGTTGTTGGGAATACTGATTACACTGTCAAAAATTCCTGCGAATTTACGGATTTCATAAGAGATAAAACTCTTGACGCTTGCGAAGAATTAGTATCTTTCGATGTTGTTTCGCTCTTCGCTAAAATCCCAGTTGATCTTGCCGTTAAGGTTGCGGAGGAAAGACTCAGAGAAGATGCTTCCCTAGGACAAAGAACTTCTTTGCCTGTGGAGGATATTATTTATCTGCTGTCTTTTTTGCCTCAAAACCACGCAATTTACATATAACGGCACTTACTATCAACAAGTTTTTGGTACAGCTATGGGTTCGCCTGTTTCTGCTGTCATTGCCAACATGGTAATGGAAGACGTGGAACAAAGGGCTTTAGCCACTTCACCGGTTAAACCCTTTTTCTGGAAACGATATGTCGATGATGTTATTTCTGCGGTATCCGGAAATGAAGCGGAGCGCCTCTTGTCGCATTTGAATTCAGTAGAGCCGTCGATCCAATTCACCCTTGAACGTGAAAAGGATAGACATTTGCCCTTTCTTGATTTAAATGTGTCCAGTGGGGTTCAGGGTAATTTAGAGACAAGTGTCTACCGTAAACCCACCCACACCGACAAATACCTCGCTTTCGATTCTCATCATCCTATTTGCCATAAGAAGTCTGTAGCCAAAACTTTACTTAGGAGGGCTGATTGTCTACCATCATCACTCGATTCGAAGGCTGAGGAGAGGAAATATGTTTCCAATGTCCTAAAGGCAAATGGCTATACAAAAACTTTTCTCCGTAACTGCCAAAAACCAGTTACAAATAGTAACGCTCTTGATGAAAGGGAACCAGCGACTGGTTTTGCTGTTATTCCTTACATACAGGGTGTTACTGAACCCATCAAGAGAATTTTGAATAGCCACAACGTTAAAGTTGCTCAAAAACCTTTTCAGACTTTGGGGCATATTTTCGCCAAACCTAAGGATCCTGTCACGAAAGAACAACGAACCGACGCCATTTATTCTATTCCTTGCAATGACTGTGACAACGAATACATTGGACAGACCAAACGCCAGTTTGGTACACGGTTAAAAGAGCACCAAAAAGCGGTTTTTCTTTGCAAAACGGAAAATTCAGCTTTATCGGAGCATACTTGCCTAACCAACCATACAATTGGGTGGGATAATTCTAAAATTATCACCACTTATCGGCGTTACCACCAGCGCCTTTGTTTGGAGGCTTGGCACATTAACTCCGCCCACGCTCCTTTAAATCGTGACGATGGCGGTCTGCTTCCTGACGCCTATTTACACCTCGTCAGAAAAAAGGCCGCTAATTAGTGATCATATAAAAGGACCTCTTGTTGCAGCGTTTAGATCACCCCTGATGAAGGCACTAGACAGGAGTGTCGAAACGTTGGGTCTATGAATTGTAACTTCTTCGGTTACATTTATTAAATCTGCAAACCAGTGTAGCTTCAAACTATGTCTGATTGTCCACCTGGTTGCCGTGTGAACTTTAATATAGGTTATAATCTATTGGTTTATGCCATTTCCGGCTAATATAGCCCTTATTATATTGAATTTCTAATCATTCGATGTATTTTCCATTCAAAAACGGTATTCCTTATCTTAGGGATGCGGAAAATAGAAGAATATTATGATAAAGTTCGGGTATAACGCGCGCCGTAATTGCGAAAAAAAAATTAAAAAATTAAAAAACGGGCAGACGTAACTGCTTCAAAAAAGATCCAATCATAAGGGTTTTTTCTGTTCTTTTAAAATTAGTTGTTTATTTATTCAAACATTTACGTATTCATCTATTTATTAATTAAGCAACAACTTTGAATGTCCGCTTTAGCTGCTACTACTATTAGTATTATTTGTTACGGTACAATTTAACCGACAGAAAGAACAATTATTTTATTAAAAAACTTGTAATATTCTTATCGAGGAGCGACTCTTAAAGGAAGTACAGTATTTATCCTAAATAAACTTATTTAAGCCCATTAAAAACCATATCTTAGCTCAACCACTGACAAAATCTCACAGTTGTCTCCAAAGTTCCTCGAAATTATATCAACAATCTTCACAGTAGTTTTCCCTGTAGTCTTATTTGAAGGGCAGCCATCAACTGACTGAGCCATAAAAAATTTTAATTTTTAGATTGGTTTATTTCGATGAGTTTTGCCTGCAAATATACGATCATTCAGAAAATAAACTTATAACTTACAATCACGAAGAAGACTGGTGACATTTACAACTGCATGAGTGCTTAAACAATAATAAACAGAACGACCTTTACCTGCAGATCGTACCTCAGACCGATCACAACCGACTAATAGCTGTTAACTAAGTGATTGTACTAAGTAATTGACTATTATTTCCAGTTTGCTGGATCCAGTTCCCTAAGTTGTGCGATATTTCGATTCAAATTCAGCACAAGACTGCAATTCAACTGTCCCTACAATGTCTATCTCACTTGGTCTGACCTGTGAGCTCTTCCTTATGGAGGTGTCCTTTATCGAAGATAGAAAAACGATGTTCATCTTTCTTTTGAATCGTTCTTTGATCTGCAGATAGATGAGCGACATGAAATATGGTTCTTAGTACTCAGGTATTTATTGAAACACTACAACTTGATGATATGCAGTTAGTGTATAAACAGTTTTTTTCTCTTACCTGAGTGTTTCGCAGGGAGTGTAGAGCGAAAATCAGGAAACCCTACAGAATAAACATTCCTTTTTACAATATTTAAATAAACTAGGCAAATATATTTTAAGATTTACATATGTATGAAGAGAAATCTAAGAAGAAAAGAAAATTGCGTAACCCATAACTGAGGAAGAAATCTGTTTTCTCTGGCATATTTAACAGCTTTTTGTTTTCATAACTCCAATAAATATCATGTAACAATTGTAATGTTGTATCGCCTGGTTAAAAAGTTTAATCGAGATTGAATGATTTTTGAGAGAAGCCATTCAACACTCACCTGAGTAGAGTTGAGTATGGTGAAGATGTAGGCGAAAGCTTTATGCACAGGCAAAAGGAGACCAAATAGCCACGTGACACCCAGTAGGGGAATTATCACCAAGCATGCTTTGATGCCAAGTCTAGGAGTTAAAAACAACCAAAAAAACACCATTCTTTTTTTTTTCTTTTGACAAAAAATTGTAATTGTTAGAGATCGGAATGCCTTCCTGATTAAGGAATGAGGAGGTTAGGCGAATATCGCCTCACAGGAGCACATGACAATCTTTTCCACTGTTTAGTTTTAGTTTTATGATGTAAATCTTACCGTATTTGCTGAAAATGGTTGGCTTCTGCTATTGGCTGCACCAAATTGGTGATCTCTTTTATAACGCGTACGAGTATCAAGATGTTGAGCTGAAGAATACAATAGAAATAAATTGATTATTTAGAAATGGTTGTCAAAAAGCCAAGGCAGGAGAGGATCCTTGCCAAAGACGTCATTTGTTTGGTAAGGAGAGTGGAATGAAGAGTCATTTACAGGGAAAAGAACTCTCAGCTAGGGTACCTAGATAATGAGCTTGGATGCTCTGACAATGAGCTAAAGAAATCGCGAACAAAAGTGTCTAAACTAAATGAACTATGCAAAGTGAAGCCTCATGTTAAATTAGATAAATTCAATATCTTCTACTCTTCCTGCTCGTTTTATCTTTTTCAATGTTTTTATCATTATTAATTTTTTCAAATGAGTAACTTTAGCGCGAAAAACTCATCTTGGTATATCAATGCGAAACAGTGTTAGAAAATTAACATGGAGGGTGGAGAAGCTTTTTTTTTACACTATGTAGTAAAAGTTGGAGAATATTTGAAGCTATAATTTGGTGTTAGATCAAGGCAACAACTTCTACCTGATAAGTTTAAATATTCTCATCAGCTGTTTGCTGTTTAATGTAAGGATATCACAAGGAGAGGTTTCATGTTGATCACTTCTGGGAGTTAAAGGTTTAATCCGCTTTTTAAAGAGCAGAGAAAAAAGTCTTTTGGCAGAAATTAGTCCAGGTGTACCAATCACAATCACCAACACGAATCATTAACTCACAATTTCAATGAAAGCCACAAAGGCGGCGAATATCCAGGTCAGGTTGTTAGTCGAGGAAAGCCAGCAACTAAACTCGAAGAAGTAATAGAGAAGAAAGAAAGCCAAATTTTTAGCGAATGAAATGATACTGATTTCAAACTATGCACAAAAAGACAAAAGAAAGAATGCAATAAAATGAAACAAAAGAAGAAGAGCAATAAGAAACTGTTGAATTTCCTCACTATTTATCACTCGTATAGCTTTGTAACCCTTCTTTCCCGGCAACGATGCTAAGTGAAATGGCCACCATGATCACTGGAAGACCTACCCATAAAGAAAGGAAGGAAATCGAAACACTTCAATGGATGACAACACCAGATTTGGTGATCCGAAAGCATGCATGGTTATAGCTACAAGTGCATGCTGTAAAATAATAAACTCACCCCATGAGATGACGTGATACATGTGCATCTTGGTGTTGATGTTGTAAACTTTCACAACGAAGAAGTAGAGATAAATTGCCTCGATCAGCATCCAACAGAAAGCGGCCATGAAGAAATACTGCATCAGAGCTGCTATTGTAACACAGGCAGCCTGTGAAAAGAAAAAGTTTTCGTATTCTTATCGTGCTCCTTTCGACGATATTTACGGTGCAAAGAGTAAATTCATTCTATGGATAGAAAGAGAGGCCACTAACTTTATTTTCTGTGGCGTTTATTCCGGCGATGAAGATGATCTGTCCAGCTCCAAGGGACATAGAAACACTCAGTCGAATTTGAGGGAGAGGTTGACGAACATCTCTGATGAAAAAAAAGTAAAAAAAACAATGAATTAGACAAAGGCAACAACAACAATAACATCAACACACACTGAGTACATCAGAACAACAAAATTGAATCAAAAGATACAGCAAAATATGGCTAAAGATATCAACTAAATCTTGACATCAAAGGAAAGAAGAAAAACAGTAAATAGCTCTAGAAAGGACAAAAAAAAAGGAAAGCATTACGAGGAAAATAGCTTAACCGAAAACAATTCATAAAACGTGAAACCATGAGCTTTTCAAGCGCTCTTGATGGGGCATGAAATCGACTTTGAATTTCTTAGTTATCTGGCTGGCTGGCATGCATGTTCTTATTGGCATGGAGATTTGCATTGAGATCTCTTTTCTCTCTAGCCTACTTGAGGGGAGTTAAGAATTTACGTCACTAATATTCAGGTACATTACTTACGTGAGGCAAGAATAAAGTATTAATGTTAAAAGTATCCCGACGATGGAGAGGCTCAGTCCCACGTAGGTGATAACTTTCAGAACTGTTTCGTCCTCCTCGGTGAGCTGTGTCAAAAAAGAAAAAGAAATTTAAAATAAAACATTGAGGTATTTAATTGAGCCCATAAAATTATAGAGTAAGGCAAAAATTATTTGATTACCTTTGTGCTACCGTCGTAGTCCATTAAGACGGCGAAATGCGTCAAATGATTGCAGCTGCAAACTGTTTCTTCTGAGTTGCTTTTTGATGTAACTACATGGCATCCTTCCTCTGAAAAGCCTTCTGACCTGAAAAAAAGTAGGTCGACAAAGCGCACAAAATTGTTCATCGTTTTGGAAGAGGCGATGTTTGACAATTTTGCGCTAAGTTTTTCCTTCATTGTAGTCTTAGCTGCGAGAACATTTCAGTCAGACTTCCTCTCTCTAAAAACGCCAACATGTTGGCCTCCAGGGAAAATCTTACTAAGAACGTTCATTCATTCTCCTTCATACTTAAATCAATTTAAGAAGGAATAAATACTGAACAATAATATATTGCAGTTTTATTTTTACCTATTGCTGCTGCCACTCCAAAACATACAACGCTTCTCTGCTGTCAAGACCTGAAAATGGATTTTATCTTGTCAGAATAAATCATAACAACGCGTAACTACTAATTTTAATGTTACCTTAAGGTTTTTGAACTTAAGGATGACATTTTCTCCCAATTTATTTGGCTTGGGGTCCATAGTTATGGCCATTATCCTGGAGTTGATATACCTATGAAGAAATTATATTTGAAAATGAACCAAAACCAAGGAATCAACAAGCATATACTCTCGCTAGATTCAAGCGAATTTTTATTGAAGGTGGAATAGTCTGAGACAGGCAGGGAGACTTCCAACCTTAGATGGAACTTTTGACAGTTTCTAAGGTCAGTTTAGTTGAACTTGGGTCTTACGTGTTTCTGTGTTGTGTGTTTTTGGGGAAAGGGACATACAATAAAATGAAAATAACATCACCTTTTGTTGACTGTTTTATTCCTGATAGGTTGATCTGTCAGAAGTAGGTCATGCAGATCCTTGTACACAAAAGCCACCACCAATGATCCTTAAAACCCCCAAGAATCAACAAAAAATAAGTTATCAAAAAAAAAATAATAATAAACCACAAAATTAAAATTTTTATCATGACATTAGAAGGAAGGCAAATGATTCAAGAAAATAGACTATGTAAACTAATAAACCGCATTTTTTTGAGGATTTATTTCAATACAGAAATTTCGATTGGAGAAACCAAGGTAACTAAAAGTTGTAAAGTTAACACGCCGGTTAATACGAACCATTTTCCTCAAAATTTGAAGAAGCGATATCGATTCTCGCTTGCCATCGTTGTTCCTCAAAGTGGAAGTAACTCGCATTCTGGCGATAGGCTTTTTGAATGGCCAAAACTGTCAAACCGAGCGAGAAGAAAGGTTTCAAAATTTTGAAGGATTTCTATTCTGTCTTATTGATTGTTTAAAGATACTTTTAATTTCCTTCACCGCAAAATTTTAAAGTATCAAACAAATAAAAAAAAAACAAAACAAAACAACCAGATATCGATAATATTCAACAATAACGTTTCAGGCTTATAAATGAGTTCTTACATTATCTAGGAAATTATGCCGCTCAGTCGGTCTGTCAGCAAGTCATTAAGTAACAGAGAAATAGACTTTAAACCTAAACAGGACTGAAGGCCGCAACCTCACCCATTTTTGGGGACACGATCCTTTTTGAAAGCCTCATTCCACTCAAGTGCTGCTTTCCATAATTAAGAGCAAAATTCTCGACGGCCTCTGCCACCTCAAAGATGGATTTTCTTAGTGTTTTAACCTCTTCCGTGTTGGCCATGTCTTTTGCGACGTTCGCGATATTTATGGTGAAATTTTCAAACACACCTACAGCCTCCTGCAATGACGTAAAATATTTCCAGGTCATTAACTAGCCAGTCTCATAGATACAATTGATATTAAGAAGGCGGAAAAAGTCTAGCAGGAGGCCCTCGATGGTGTCCAGGGTATTCATTGTCAAAATAACTCTTTTAGGAGCCTGGATTATTTTTTCCCATTTTTCACCATTTTCACCTCATATGGCTTGAATGGTGGTTTATCCTGAAAGATCAGATATTTACTTTTATGGTTTAAATAGATATATCAAAGTTAAAAGCCTTCAAGTTATGAAAATTTGATACCTTTATGGAAACATTTCTGGTAATGTTTATTCCGGATAATTTTGACACAGAATCATTTGCCTAGAATTTAAAAAAAAAATGTCACATTTATAAACAGAGAAGGTCCCGAAAAGCGACATGCATAGGAACGTAAATGACTATTTAGAACACAAACCAGCTCCTTGACTGTCCTTAAAAACGATGACAATGGTGTTGTTGGCGATGACGATTGCGATGACGATGCTGGAGATGGATGATAATGGAAAATCTTGGATTAGAACGAGATGTCAATTGAGCTGTTTCAATGTTTTACGGCTTTCCTCTTAGCACATGTTTGTATATTTTTCCAACTATTGGGAGGCGAATGACAGGAAACGCAAACGGTTTAAAGGTTCAAAAATTCAAACTTGTCATATCGCTCAATTTACAAAACTTGGATGAAACAGATGTTTTATAATAAGTGAACGCTAGCGAGGATCACTTTGGTTTCCTTCCAATACAGGTTTTGCTAAATGTGTCATAACACCATATGTCGCCAATGTTACGAAGTACTCAACTTGAAGTGTGCTATGCCAACGGAAACTATTGGAATACATTACCTCGAACATCCCCGTTGTTAACAATAATGAGGGAGGAAAAGACAAACGAGCTATGGCTTTTGTTAATTGATTAGGTAGCTGAGGAAATGGTTTACTACTCAGCTATTAGCTTGATCGCGATACTCGCCGGTTTTAATTTCTGTGCATGTTTGTTGCACCTTACACCATGGCATCTTCGATTGCGTTAAGCACCGGTGAAGTTTCGATTACATTGAGCACCAGCAAGTCTGTCGGGTCCCCCCTCCCTTATCATTTTGTACCTTTTATTTCTGAGAATGGGTTATTTATTGTGCTTGGGACATATTCCACGTCATTATAGTGACCCACTCCTCTTACCATATCGTTGTGTACAAGGTGGTCCAACGTAGTCTTGGTAAGAGCCCTGCCAAGAGTTTTGTCCAGGAGCTGAATCTGCTGAACAAATGTCACAAATGTAATACAGAGGAATTAATTATTCCAAAAAGAAAAGAAAAGATCAGATTTACACACGCGATTGCACCTAACAAATGGGCAAACTCCCAGAATCTCGAAACATAGAATTAATTTTACTGACAATTATTTTCCATTTACTGATTGAATAGAAGTGTGCTCTGATTGAACAGAGGTATACGTCGTTCATCAATACTCGTTACAGATATTAAACTTAAGTTTGTTTGCCAAACCAGTACCGTTGATAATGATTTTTTTTTGGTTTTTTTTAAACGTGCATGCGCTTTTGTTTCTTACACTTTCTCTTCTTAACAGGTGTCAGATTGTGACAGATACATTTAAAGAAATGCCTCAAAGTTTGTTGGCAAGCCATTTGAATCACCTTTTTCATTATACAAATAAAAATATTTCGGTGAAGCCTCTATTTAACTTGCATTACCTCAGTCTGTTTCAACTACCATTTACTCGTTCAAAAATTGTTCAGCTCATGGAGGATCTTGCCGTAATTACAGCCCTAAATCAGTAGGGTACACACAGGCACCCATACTTCGATATGTTTTGTTCAAAAGAACATGCATTCATTCACTGACATCAATGAAAACGCCTTGTCACTTATGGCAAGGGAAAATTCCGTTGGCTAGATTATCCCAATCTCAACGCCCTCGACAAAAGTTGTTAAATATACAATTTCCATCGCTGTTTTTCCAGCTGCAGGCGATGTAAAAAAAGGAAAATTTTAGAGTCATCATTCTTTTTCGAAACATATGTCCCGGATTTTTTCATGGGCATTATGTTCAACCACTAATACGCGCTTAGAAGGTCGTTCATCGCTCACACGTACAAGTTAGATGAGCTGAGCATATTCTGTGAACAATATTTTCACTTTTAAGAAGCAAGAGCAATTTTCCTGACACAAGTGGAAGACTGTAATGTTTCAGCACATAGTAGACTTTATGGTTGGAGTGTGATCTTACCTCCGGGAATCTCGCAAATATAGGCATTTTTATCATTCCGAGAGATACCATTAAAGAGGCCTCCATTCTTGGATATTTCCGCATAATCGTCGTTACCATCTGGCTCAGAATCTCGCCATTTCGAAATGTTTAATTGTTCTCCACTCAGCCAAGTCCAAACCCCGCCTATCTTCCATAAACCAATGTGCCACGCACTAGCATTCCAAGTACCACGCTTCTGAATCTCGTTACTGATAAACTGCCATTCTTCTTCAGTTTCGATGGAGACTAAGTCAAATCCCTGGTCGTTACAGACACGCCTACTGTTATTCCAATCTCTTCCGCTTTTCGAAAATATGTAAGAGGAGTTTTTGAAACAGGTTGCTTGGCACTCTACGAGAAAAACCAGTACTTCAAAACTGGTACTCAAGACCTTGGGCATACATTCTTCGATGTGTTATGTTTAAAAGAACATGCATTTACTAACTGACCTCAGTGAACACGCCTTGTAACTTGTGGCAAGGGAAAATTCCGTTGGCTAGATTATCCCAATCTCAACGCACTCGACAAAAGTTGTTAAATATACAATTTCGATCGCGGTTTTTCAGCTGCAGGCGATGCAAAAAAAAGGACAATTTTAGAGTAATCATTTTTTTTTAGAAACATATGTCCCGGATTTTTTTATGGGCATTATGTTCAACTACTAATACGCGCTTAAAAGTTCATTCGTCGCTGACACGTACATGTTCAAGTGAGGTGAGCTGAGCATATTCTGTGAACAATATCTTCATCTTAAGAAGCAAGAGCAATTTTTCTGACACAAGTGCAAGACTGTAATATTTCAGCATGTAATACACTTTATGGTTGGAATGTGATCTTACCTCCGGGAATCTCGCAAATGTAGGCATTTTCATTATTTTCAGAGATACCATTAAAGAGACCTCCACTCTTGGATATTTCGGCATAATCGTCGTTACCATCTGGCTCAGAATCTCGCCATTTCGAAATATTTAGTTTTTCTCCACTCTGCCAAGTCCAAACCTCGCTTATCTTCCATAAACCAATGTGCCACGCACTAGTATTCCAAGTACCACGCTTTTGAATTTCATGTTTGATAAACTTCCATTCTTCTTCAGTTTCGATGGAGACTAAGTTACCTCCCTGGCTGTAACAGACTTCCCTGTTGTGATACCAACCTCTTCCGCTTTTCGAAAATATGTAAGAGGAGTTTTTGAAACAGGTTGCTTGGCACTCTATGGGAAAAAAAATAAAGGACAAAAAATAGACAAAAAAATGTATACTGTTGTAACAATAGTGATAATTCTGATGGTGGAGACAAAGGAATAAATAAATAAATAAATGTTTACTGATCATAACAATAGTAATAACGATATAGATGAAGAAGAGAAAGTATATTTTTATATCATTAACATTCATGAAAAAACAATGGGCATCAAAACTTTCTACCTCACCAAAGGAAAAATTAGAATTAGGCAAGGTTTTAAAAGTGGAAATTGGGGAAATCAGGGTAATAGCACCGTTAGTCTGACTTTTTTTTATTTTTGCTTTCCAACTAACGTTTTTTTAATAGCAAGCCGATGTAATTCCAGGAGGAAGTCTATCACTAATCATTTTGATAATTCAGTCAAATCCTTTCTTTTTTTCCGGTTAATTTTTATGGTACATAAATATTATAGTGGAATTACACTGTCTCACCTGTTCCTGGCAATTCCATCATCAAATGAAGGATGACTGTAGAAGAGAAAATGAGATTGTTATGTCGAAAATAACGTTTGAAACAACTAAAAAGTTTATTAGATTTCGAGGTAGACTAGTACTAATGCATTTTATTCGCTGCATGCACTTTAAAATCTACCTATGACTTTTCTTACCTTCCCTTAGGAGCTTAGGGATGCGTTTCATCAGGAGATGTTTACATGACTATAATTCAAGGACCACCTTCAATTTGTTATCTATCTCTTGCCTTTAATTTTGTTTTGTTTGAAACTTAAATCTAAAATGGAAATGAAAGGAAATTGCGGTAAAAAATGCCAAAACTTTAGACAGTTTTTAACTGTTCCTCGAAGTAACCGGGATGGGCGCTTATTCCTTTGGGCAACGACTTCACATGCTTAGAGCAAAGCAAATACTTGTGCCTTATAGCTTTGTTTTTCCCAGAATCATCACCGAGAGGTCAAACGTATGGATTAGACATTTATTTGTAAGTTCAAAAAGTTCAAAATTGTCGCTTCTCGGAACAGATAACTACAATATAAATATTTACAACTTATTCGATGCCGACATTTTGCGCGATATTATTCCAAGTCAAGAGAGTGCCGTTGGGAAACCATTCAAGTGTTCTTTATAACCGTCAGAAAAGTTTAATGAGCTAAGAAATTTGTTGCTTAAAAAAGGGAAAAAACAACAACAACAACAATAATATCCGTTTGGTAGGTGCAGCCTTCTGTTGTTCCGCTCTCCGTCCGTATTTTTGCACTGTTGTACAGTGGAATACCGTGAGCATGTTCCATTGCCCAAATAAATGGCTTAAATGGCGTAGTAGCGGAGTGATAAAAAAGTATATCTTTCGACAAATGACCCTATTATTATTTCAAAATAAAAAAAAAAAAAAAGTGATTTGAGTGGAGATGAAAATTGTAAATGAAGACAGTAAACGTACAAATTTAGCTTTTTTTTCTCTTTTTCTAACTGCGTTGGAATTCATTAATTTACCGTTTACTGGGTTTTGGCGTCCATTTAGAAAATAAAATTCAACAACTGAAACCGATAAAAAATTCGAGGATGCAGGGAATTTATTAAAGGGAATTAAAAGATGAACCCGTCACAAGCTGAACTGTTGCTGACGGCATTTATTATGATAAACACTTGTCCAAACTGGCCCTCTGTTTATCACAATTATTTTTTCGACTTAGCGTTTTTATAAAATGAGCACGAATGCAACTCCCATTTCTTTTCGTGCAAGATTGTTTAAGTGAAACGTCTGAATTAGTTTTAGTCGACGAACTCAATTCGTTTTTTTCGCGAAAAAGATCATATATAGCGTCTGTTTATTTCTCGGTTGACTTATGGTTACAGCAGCTTCATGAGGTAGGCGACTATGTTATCGTGTTCCTGAAACCTTATATAATATTTCTGAAAGGCTTTGCACTAAACGTCCATTAAGACACAACAATCGTGAATTATAACTACCATTTCAATTTTAAAACCGCAAAACTGTTTCAAAAATAAAAAATATCTAGATCTAACCAGACACTATTTACTTAACATTTCCATAACATAATCAGAAGATGTAGTAGAGCTTCGGTTGTACTTACTCAGAGCAGAGTGTAAAAACAGGGCTGTGAACATTTTACCGGATTGAAGCCCAATTCTTCAAGCTTACGATATAGAGAAGTTGCCCCCAGCAGATGCCAGCACGCTTATGCTATATAGTTCTTAACATGAAAACAACACCGACGCGACAGATTGTGTAACGTATTAAAACTCTTTTGAGGGCGGTAATATGACATATGATAATACTCGATCGCTTCTCACTGACATAAGCCACCA